TCCTGGCACTCTGGAGGCAGAGGTAGGCAAATCTCAGTGAGTTTGAGGGCATCTAGGCCTACTAAAGTGAGTTCAGAACAGCCAGGGCTACATAGAGAAATCCTATCTCAATAAACCAAAAAAAAAAAAAAAAACAAAAAACAAAAAACAAAGAGTGGGGTAAAAAAGCTGAAAGGCAAATTGTAGTGGCACAGAACTTTAATCCCTACACTCAGGAGGCAGAGGCAGGCCTGTGAATTTGAGGTCAGTATGGTCTAATAATGAGTTCCAGGACAGCCACAATACAGAGAACCTGTCTTGATAGAAAAGAAGGAGGAAGGGAGGAAGTTAGTCAAACAGTTTGGTAAAACCACAAAAACTGCTTTTACCCAAATCAGAAACCCAGTTCAAGCAGTAGAAGTCCTATAAGACTTATGCTGCCATCTAGAGGCTACATATGAGATGACTACTTTCCTTCATTTGTTTCCCAGAGATTACCAAACAGGCCTTATTCTAAGAGCCAAAGAACCTTGATACCAGGCCACAAAGAACACCTAGAGTGTAGAGTCACAATTATTCTTTCCTTCAGTCACAGACTAAAATTAGAACTCAGCGGAGCTAACTCTCCTTTAGATGTATTTAGAGCTAGATGTGGTAATCCATGCCTGTAAATTCCAACATTTGGAAAGTTGAAGCAGGAAGATCACCGTAGTTCAAAACCAACCTGGGCTATACAACAACATTCTGTCCCATAAGCAAAAAATGTAGATGGAGAGTAATTTCTCAATATAATTAGCTACTTTTCAAAAGCATATGCCTAGAGGGTCCTAACAGAAGTGTTTAGAAGCGTTGGTTTCATTGGTTTTTCTTTGGTACAATCACTAAAACTTATACCATATATTGTTAATACTCCACTCAGTTAATTACATTGTTGAGCAGACTCAACAATGTAATTAACTGAGTGGAGTATCGAGTTTAAATGAGGGCTGGAAAGAGAGCTCAGTAGTAAGGAAGTCATCAAGTTCTTGGGAAGGATCCGAGTTTGGTCCCCAGTAACAATAGCAGGTGGCTCACAATGACTCTAACACTGTTCTGGGGGATCAGGTGCCTTTGGCCTACTTGAGCACTCACAAACATGTATGCACATACATATGCAATTAAAAATGAAACAAATTTGTCACACAGTGGTGGCACACGCCTTTAATCCCAGCACGTGGGAGGCTGAGGCAGGTGGATTTCTGTGAGTTCGAGGCCAGCCTTGTCTACAGAGTGAGTTTGAGGCAGACCAGAACTGTTTACATAGAGAAACCCTGTCTCAAGCCCCTCCTCCACAAAAAAAAAAAAAAGAAATCCTTTGCAAAGTCTAAATAGGGAAGTCTCAAATGTCTTTAACACAAATGGTTTTAAAAGCTCAAAGAATCTAGGCAAATTCAATGTAATTTTATTTTCATTAAAAAATTACCTATGAAGGGCTGGAGAGATGGCTCAGTGGTTAAGAGCACTGACTGCTCTTCCAGAGGTCCTGAGTTCAATTCCCAGCAACCACATGGTGGCTCACAGCCATCTATAATGAGACCTGGCGCCCCCTTCTGGCTTGCGGGCACACATGGAAGGAATGCTGTACACATGATAAATAAATATTTAAAAAAAAATTACCTATGAAAATACCACAGTCTTTAACACCATACTACATGCTTTCTGCCAAGATCAGAAAGGAAATGAAGGACATCTACTCTTACCACTTTTGTTCACAACTGTAATAAAATTTAACTAAGGTAAGAAAATGAAATCAAAATATATCTAGATTAGAAAGGAAGAAACACGGGCTGGAGAAATGGCTCAGCCCTTAAAGGCTAGGCTCACAGCAGAAAATATGAGAAAGGAAGGAACAAAATCGTTCCCACTTGCAACAAGGAATCTGCACACACACAACTTTTCATACGGCTGGGCATGTAGAACTGACTGATAGCTCATGAAAGCAGGTTAAGTATTCAGCATCAATGGGCAAAAGAAAATCCAAACCACAATGACCCTTATACTCCTAGGATAGAAGTAACAATTTTTTAAAGGGCAATAATAAGTATTAGCAAAAATTCCTCTACTGCTGGTAGAAGTATACAATGGTTCAGTCAGCTTGGAAAACAGCCTAAGAACTCTTCAAGAAGTCAGATACAAGCAAAGAGCACACCTTTAATCCAGCACTTGGGAGGCAGAGGTAGGCAGATCTCTGGTCAATCAAGTCCAATCTGGTCTATAAAGTCTATCTGGTCTATCTGGTCTATGAGTTCTAGGACAACAAGAGCTACGCAGAGAAACCCTGTCTCCAAAACCCAAAGGAGTCAGATATAGTGCTACCATAAGACCCCAGTTATAAACACAAGAGAACGAAAATTCATGTGTACAAATGACTTGTCAGAGCAGCATTGTCAACAAATCTAATAGTAGCAACGATCAAATGTCTCTCAATTGGCGATAAATACAATGTTATACCTACCCAAAGGAATATGATCTGACCATACAAAAGAGAGCACTGATATATTCTGAAACACAGCTGAACACTGAAAATGCTATTTCAGTAAAAGAAATCAGGGCTGGAGGGAGCTAGCAAAGTACAGGCTCTGGGTCTGATACCCAGCACTTTGAGTAAGAGACAATGAAAGAGAAATAGAGAAAAATGAGACTCCAGTCACAGAAACATGATTCCAAACTAGACAAATCTATACTGGCATAAAACAGATTAGTGATGACTGAGCCTCTAGAAGCTTGAGAGGAAATGAGGAGTAGGGCAAATGGGGCCAGGGATTTGGGGTGATAATGAAAATATCCTAGACTTGACTGTGTTGCAGACTGAGCTGTTCAGTATAAATAGGTGAATTACAGAAACATGAACTGCAGCTCAATAAAGCTGTTAAAAAAAAAAAAAGAAACACAAACACAAATGCTCCAGAGTTCCAAGGATTAGCTCTAGCTACAAAGAGATGATTACCAGTTTTCCAGATTTTTATAACTCATTTTCAGTTATTTCCAAGTTAGTGACGATAAATGAATTTACATAACTACTGAAAAACTTGTCACCTTCAGAACCAAGAAAAAATCAGAAAAGGGTAAAAATTGCAGAGAATTAGTAGGATGCACAGCAATTAAATTGGTCTCAGGAATAAAGGCAACAGCCTAGTGTTGTAATTCACAGGGCTAAGTCAGTATCCCACCCACACCATAACGGTAATGAGGCTCAAGCACATAGAGCCAAACAATTAGCACACTCCATGTTGTATGTACTAAATAATTATCTACTGCTATCAGAGAAGAAAATATCCCAAGACCTTCAAACATCACTTCTCATCACTAAACACCAATTACCTAAAACTAGAGCAATTTTCAAAAGCTTTCATCCTTTCCGTTTTAAGTCAATGGGCCTCGTTAGACATCATGTGTCATTCCATCTAGAGGCATCTTTAATTGACTGCCAGTTGATCCATAAGACTACAAAGGGAGTCTAAAAGAAAATGACTTTTATTTTGAAAAGTTACATTTAATCCCAGGACAAAAAAAAAAAAAAACAAATTTCCAAGAATGGTGAAAGTGCCTTAAAAATGAAACAAATCTATAAAAGTTATTGTATTTTAAAAATCTGTACACCACAGGGTTATCTGACATATAGCCATGAACAAAACCAAAGGGTAACATAAGGCTCACCTCCCAAAAGACAGAATCTAGTTACTACCAGTACTACAAGATTCTTGTTATTCCTATACTCTCATTTAACAAAACTGTGAAATGACAATCATGTTTTGAGGCTAAATATTTCTGCATTTTTTTTCATCTCATCATCTTTATCAGGGCAGATATTTGCATGAAAACAGTATCACTGGTCCTCTGGGATTCATCAGTTCCTACTGCTTATTTTTCACCCATGTCATCCTTTCAATTAATGTAGAAAAAAAATACCAAGACATCGAAACACCAGATTAAGGTGTCAAGTGAAAGACAATCCCTGGAGTAGATGAATAATCTAAGAGGACAAAAAAGATGTTTTTATGCAAATATACTATACACGCTAAAACAAGGAGACTATATCCAAGAAATCCTACACACATCGATGTAAGCATTTCAATTTCTAACTTATTTTCTAACCTCAAATAAATTCCCTATGGCCAAGGAAGATGGCAGGAAGTTACAAAGTACTGTTACAGAAACTAAAACAGGCTGAGTTATGAAGTATAACATAATTTATGTTTCTACTGTATTCATCCAACCACGCTGGCAGGAAAACAGTCTTCCTTGTTCAGCTTAAGTTTAGTGATTAAGATGGCTGAATTAGTTGGCTACAACTAACCCCAATCCCAATGCCGTCAGTTCTTAGAAATATAAATACTTGGCAGTGGGTAAGGCACCACACTGCTAAACCTAATGACCTGAGCTCGGTTCCTTGTTAGCTGACTACTGCCATGCACGTCTGTGCTCTAGTGCAGAACAGCTGAAGTCTCTCCCAGAAAGACACTCTTCCTTCCTGGAGAATCCTGATATTCAAAAACACAAACTGGTCTCTTTTGCTCACTTTCCTTAGTGCCTAGAAAAAGCTATGGACAGCAGCAAAGACTCGAGGACTAATGGCTCAAGTAAAGTGGAGCCTGGATACACCAAAGGAAGAATAAGAATACACCAGTGACATAATTAAGGGTCATAGACCTAGACAACCTCAAAGCCATTTCTACCCCTGGATTTTTAATAAACGAATGTGAACTAACAAAGTCTCTCTTCAGACTGAACTATTTTTAATTGATGTCCTAGCATTTAAAACAAAAAGGTTCCAAAAGATATGTATTGCACAAAAATTTTACCTTTAAGTCAATAGTTTAGCACATTCTATCATGAAAGGTACAAAGTTATACCAAGTTCCTACCTTCAGATGGCTTGTCTTTGCCTTGGTAAAAGGAAAGGTATACTTTCATGAGTTATAACTAGAACTCATTGTGGAATATACAACATGTAACCTTGTATAAAATTAATTGGGTACTCACACTCATCCAGTCCCAGCTGATAGGCCAGGTTCTGGAGCCCTCGTACCTTCTCCATCAAATTAGCTGTGGTGAGGCTCCCCAGCTCTGAAATAGAAGACTTTATTTCAGTATCACTTCTCACTGATCTGCAGTAATAACTGATTTGGGTTGATAGTCCTAGTAATAAAAGATGTCTAGTTGGGTTGGGGGTATAGCTGAATGTCAGAACACTGACCTAACAAGCAGGAAGCCAGGGATTTGATCACCAGAACAATGAAAGAGTGAGGAAGACTTCAAGCTTAATTTCCTTCATGAATAAGTACAAAACAGGCCCTTTATTTCCTTTCCTCCAATTTTACATACTCTTCAGCAAAAACTGTGAAGTTTTCTACTACTGCAAAAACACCTCAGCATTATACTTAACAAATTAAGTGGGCTTTAAATTATTTATTTTTACATTTTTAAAAATGTATTTAGTGTGTGTTTGTGCGCAAAATTGCATGGGTACCAGAGGACAATTTGAAAGGAGTCAACTCTTTCCTTCTAGCATGTGGGTTCTAGAGAGCATACTCAGGTTTTCAGGTTTGGTGGCATGTGTCTTCACAGCTGAGTCAGCTCACCTGCCCAAGTGTGTTATAGCATCTGTTTATAACATTCATTTTCACCTATCACACAAAATGAATATACCGTTAAAATATGAAGCCTTATGATGTGACATATCATAGAGAAAACCTTGCAGACACATCTTGGTCATGTAAATCAGATGTTGTCTCCATTTACAAGTCCCAGGATTTCAACTATATATAGTAGCAATAATAGCAACAAAATACTGTTCACCCTGTACCCAACTGTAGAAAACATAAACTTAAATATAAATCCAAACTTTCCCTTCAAATCCAATTTTGCTTATTTTATTTACAATTAATTTTATTTACTTCCTAGATTTTACTTACTTAAAATAAAGGTTACAACCCAGAATTTCATTTAAATAGCACCTAAATGCTTGTTTAAAATAGAGATCGGTTTTCATGAAACATAATGCGCTGTGAACTCTCACTAAAATTTAGTTTTCTTAGAAACTATAAGTTCATCATTTATTACATAAATAGTTTTGGAATATTAGGACAATGAATCTGAGATCCTTCGAGACATAGTTTTCCATGGGTGGGTGAGGAATCAGCATCTAACCACGCACTGAGTAACTTCTGAAATCATACAAAGGAGTTCTGCTCTTCCATTTATCATTCTGCAGTCTTTCCTGCAATGAGCATATGCCACTTTCTTGACTAGTTTTAAATAGCTCAAGAATTCCTGATTTTTACCTTAATTTCAATCTATTACTTCACAACTATCATGAATCTGAACACCATAAGAATGATTTTTTAAAAAAAGACCAAAACCATAAAATTAATGTTTTTTTAATTTAAATTTCCATTCTGATTGAACTCCAAATCATTCATCAAACAACAGTATTCACTGCTCATAGAATTCTTGACAGAAGAACTGAAAGGACAGAAAGAAAGAAAAGATTTATCTCAATCCACTAGGAAAGTGGTTCTCACCCTTCCTAATACTGTGACCCTTTAATACAGTTCCTCATGTTGTGGTGACCCCAACCATAAAATCATTTCATTGCTACGCCATAACTGTAATGTTGCTGCTATCATGAATCATAATGTAAATATTGGAAGGCAGGATATTTGGTATGGGACCCCTGTGAAGAGGTGGTTCAGCCCCTCAAAGGGGCACAACCCACAGGCTGATAACTGCTACACTCAAGGATTGTCATTTTATAGTACTAAGACAATATGTGGCTTTAAATTTTATAAATAAGGCTCTTCTATTATAGTGAAGATTAAACTTTAAAAGATCAGAGTTTAAACTTTATAAATTTATAAACACTAGCCATTTTATCTCTAAATCTTTGTTATTATCATACCTAACAGGGCCTTCATAATTCAGTGAGAAATTTATGTAAGGTTTTTTTTTTTAATCCACTATAAGCATTATACAAAAGTAAGTTAATATGAAAAAAATAAACATGAAAGAGTTCACTGTGACTCATTCTTGAACTGGCTGAATTTCTACACCTATAAAAAGTAGAGAAAAGCATTCCCACCAGACATGAGGAACTATGAAGACAGATAGCAAAGTAGGCAGTGTGAAGCCAAGAACATCATAAGGACGCAGGGACAGAAAAGTGCACAGTGGTTTGTGGACAGATGTAAATGCGACAGGAGAGGACAAGCCAGGCTTGGTGGCTACCCAGAGTCCCAGGTACTTAGGCGGCTGAGACAGAAGAAGCATCAGTTGGGCTCATGCACTCAGAGGCCAAACTGAGCAATGGGGTGGGACCCCACTAAAACAAAAACAAGCCAAGTAGTGGTGGCACATGCCTTTAATCCCAGCACTTAGGAGGCAGAGGCAAGAGGATGGATTTCTGAGTTCTAGGGCAGCCTGATCTACAGAGTTGAATTCTAGGACAGTCAGGGTTACACAGATAAACCCTGTCTCAAAAAAACAAACAAACAAACAAAAAACCAAACCAAAGATAGTAGACACTGCGGGGCTGGAGAGATGGCTCAGAGGTTAAGGACGCTGACTGTTCTTCCAGAGGTCCTGAGTTCATTCCCAGCAACCACATGGTGGCTCACAACCATCTACAATGAGATCTGGTGCCTGCAGTCTTACATGGAGGCAGCACACTGTATTATTGTATACATAATAAATAAAATCTTAAAAATAATAAACATCTCACTTTATAAATAGGAAACAAATGCACAGAATATTTTTTTAAAAAAAGATAGTAGACACCAGCATCACATACCTTTCAACATATCGATGTCATCACGTTCTATTTCAGCCATCCATTTGGGTGGAGAGCTAGTGATGGGCTGTCAGGAAAAAAAAATATCCATTCAGGTGCATCCTTCTTATGAGAATGTAGTTCATCACACAGCCTTCAGATTGTCTGAAAATCCTGGAAAACTACAATCTCAAAAATCCAGGTTTTGTAGGTAAATAGATGACTCAGCAGTCAAGAGCATAGACTGTTCTTCCAGGGGACCCAGGTTTGATTCCCAGTACCCACAACTACCTGTATCCTCAGTCACAAGTCTGGCCTTCTCAGGCACCAAGCACATATATGGTAAACAGACATACATACATACAGGCAAAATATCCATATACATAAAATAAATAAATAAAATTTTAAAAGCAGGTTTTTAGGTTCAGCTTTTACTTCAAAAATTCATTTTATAAAATCCTGCTACTCAATTTTAAAGTTGGTCTCAGAAAGGTAGTGGATGAATTTCGATGTGACTACTATTACTAATTCAAGAATAAGTTAGTTCATCGATAACATTATTTAAAATTCCATTTTTTTTTTATTTATTTATTTTTTTTTTTTGGTTTTTCGAGTCAGGGTTTCTCTGTGGTTTTGGAGCCTGTCCTGGAACTAGCTCTTGTAGACCAGGCTGGTCTCGAACTCACAGAGATCCGCCTGCCTCTGCCTCCCGAGTGCTGGGATTAAAGGCGTGCGCCACCACCGCCCGGCCTTAAAATTCCATTCTTATGAAAGACTCCAATTGAAAGTTTAAGACAGTATGAGTAACTAACAGAAATAAGAATCAGAGATGAGAAAACCCCCAGTTCAAGTGGGGAGAGAATAATGGTCATCACTTGACATTTCATCACTAACTTCTTTTTGTTTTTTTTGGAGACAGAGTTTCTCTGTATAGCCTGGCTGTCCTGGGACTCTCTCTGTAGACCAGGCTGGCTTTAAACTCACAGAAATCTGCCTGCCTCTGCCTCCCGTATGCCGGGATTAAAGATGTACGCCAACACCACTCGACTAGATTTCATCATTAAATTTTTTCTATCTATTTATTTGTGTGACATCTCTGGGGAGGTAATAGAGCATGTATATGCCATAAGCAGGTGTGTGGAGGTCAGAAGACAACCTGTGGGAGTCAGTTCTCTCCTTCAACCATGTAGGTCCAGGGACTGAATTCAGGTCATCAGGCTTGATAGCAAATGTGTTTACCGAGTTCATAATTGTACTGTAGAAGTTTTTAGAAATTTTCAGCATTTAAAAATGTTAATGGACATAAGTGGGGAACAACTGCAACCCGAGCAGAGGCTGAGGCATAAGGAAGGTTAGTTCAAGGTCATCTTGGGTTACTGTGGTGCCCCTACGAGAACAGATATTTGAATACTTAGACTCTAGTTGGTGGAACTATTTGGGAAGGTTTAGGAGTGTGGCCTTGTTGAAGGAGATGTGTCATGAGGGGTGAGTTTTAAAGTTGCAAAAGCCCACACCCAGTCTCTCTTGCTCTCCGCGTGCTGTTGGTGGATAAGATGTAAGTTCTCAGCTACTGCTCCAGCACCATGCCTGTCTGCCTGTTGCCATGTTCCCATGTTCCCTACCATCATGACCTCTGAAACTGTAAGTAAGCCCCCAATTAAATGCTTTCTTTTAAAGTTGCCTTGGTCATGGTGTCTCTTTATGCCACTTCAAAAGGACAGTGACTAAGACAGTTACACTGTGAGATCATCTTCCCCCCCCTCACCCTGTACAAAAACCAAATCCTGGATACTCCCAGATATACTGATACAGAATATCAAAGGCCATTAAGAGGGACTACTAGAAAGAATAGAGATAAGGAATTAAACAAGACAAAAATTTTTAAAAGCTTTGCAGCTGTACACTGACAATTCTGCCATGCAGACAAAGGTTAAGAAAAACAACCCTGGACCACAGTGATGGCTCAGCAGGTAAGTGAGCTTGCTGCTATTTCTAACGATCTGAATTCAAACCCCAGTAACCACATTAAAAAAAAAAAAAACCCTCCCACATAAATAAGGGGGAAAAAAGCTGCAAAATTAAATATAGTTGAGGCAAACAGAATACCAATGTTACACCAAGTATTTCAACTGCTTAACTTGAAGTTTCTAAACTGAAGAAAAGGCTAATAGGCAAGGGTCAGTGTCAAAGCATTTAAACAGAAGAAGGGATTACAACAGTTAACTATGAGAATATAAACATATTTAAAGATCTACAGTCAAAAAAATGATTAGAAGACTATGGCACTATTCTTTAAAATAGATTTGAGCTTTTTACCCAAGGGCAAGCTTTGAGTAAACCTCCATAAACATAAGTTATTACTTACACTCTTGAAAGAAGCAGCAAATTCAGCAACACCTGGTACTAGAGAAGAAAAACAAAAAACAAATGTTATTCATGCAAGAAACATTTGTTTTTCAGGCACAGAGGGTTTAAATAAAAAAACGAAGTTTTCCCAGGTGGTGGTGGCTGTGCTGACACACACCATTAATCCTAGTACTCATGAGGCAGAGGCAGGTGGATCTCTGAGTTTGAGGCCAGCCTGGTCTACAGAATGAGTTCCAGTACAGTCAGGGCTACACAGAAAGAAATCCTGTCTCAAGCAAACAAACAATCCAAAAAACCAAAGTCTTGCCCCCTTCAAAGAGCTTACAATGTAGAAAAGGACAGAAATCACTAATACTGATTACATTTCAGAAAGATGTTAGGTGCTATAGGAAGACATAAAATAGAACTCTAATCGGAATGATGGGGCAGGAAAAACTTCTCTGAGAAGCCAATGCCTCAGCTTTTAAATAACCAAGATTTGGCTTGGAGAATAGTAAACTATCTCTTGTCAGAAAGTTTAAGTTTCCTTCCCAAGGCTAGAGGTATAGACAATGAAAGAGTTCTTGTCTAGCATGCACAAGACCCTGGGGTTGAGCCCCAGGGATGCAAATAAATAAATAACAAAAATGAGCAATATAAACTTTCTTTTTAGTTGTCCTTTCTGTTAATCAAATTATTGACTCAAGGGGGCTGGAGAGATGGCTCAGAGGTTAAGAGCACTGGCTGCTCTTCCAGAGGTCCTGAGTTCAATTCCCAGCAACCACATGGTGGCTCACAACCATCTGTAAAGAGATCTGGCGCCATCTCCTGGCGAGTATATAATAAATAAATTAAAAAAAATTATTGACTCAAATGTCTCATAGACAGTATCACATTAAAAAATCAAAAGAAAAAAATTACATATTTTAAGTGAAATAATGTTCAATTCTACTAAGAAATACAAGCTAGGGCTGGTGAGATGGCTCAGTAGGAAAAGGCACTTGCCACCGAGCCCAACAACCTACATTGTGGATTCCCAGGTACCAGGTAAAAGGATAAAACTGACCCCTACAAGTTGTCCTCTGACTTCATGTACATCATGGCACATGGGTGCCTCCCCCAGCCCAATAAATAAATGAATGTCACTTAATTTAAAAAAATGAAAATAGAAATACAAACTAACATAATGACTAGTAACATCCAATATTGGCTAGTGAGAAAATGGGCAGTCATTCTCTTCTACATACAGAACATATATGCAATATGTGTCATTAATATAATAATTAATAATCATTAAGATGCTGCTTGTGAAATAAAAACCAGATGATTTAGGTTTTCAAACAGAATGTATAGAAACTAGAATATCCATTATATTTAAAAGAATAAAGTAGACCTACAAAGAACAACATGAAAAGATACATCAAATTACAAGTTTATTTAAATTAAGCTAAAGGCTCTATACATGTGACTTCATTATTATGAAAAACAACACCCCACCTCTGCCGTGTGTATATGCATGTGATTATCTGTATAAGCATAAAAAAAGTCCAAACCGATTTGTATAAAATTACTAATAGTATCTAACTTAATAAGAGTGACTAAAGGAGATGAAAAACTTTGTGCATCTCAGAATTATCTGAAATTATTACAGATGTAGTTTTAGAACTATAATTACTGTTTAAAAGTCCCTCATTGCTTGTCTCACAAGTCCCTATTTTTACTGCACATCAATTTCTTCTCTTTGAAGTGAAATAAAAACTTAAATCATCATAGATACATGATAACCCTTTGAAATTCTCCCATGGGAACAGACTCTCCTGCATCGATTCTGATATGAGAAAAGAAAAAACTTACATTGTTCAGGCCAAAGATCTGGCGAGGCACGGTCAAGTTTCTCAAAACTTAGCAAAGATGTTTCCAAATCCGTCCCTGGAACCAAACACCAGGATGGGTTGAGATACACATTCATTTATATTTTATTACATTTCAATCTTAAAGAATTTAAACTGAGCCGGTGGTGGTGGCGCACACCTTTAATCCCAGCACTTTAATCCCAAACCTTTAATACCAGGCAGGTGGATTTCTGTGAGTTCAAGGTCATCCTGGTCTATAAGAGCTAGTTCTAGGACAGGTTCCAAAGCTACAGAGAAACCCTGTTCCCAACCCACCCCCCTCCAAAAAAACCAAAAAACAATAGAGAACTTAATTGAAATTTCAAAGATCTGAATTGCTTCTGGGGCATGATAATACAAATAAATTGGATTCTCTCTGATCAAAACTCTAACCAATAAGAATATTTAAGAAAGTTAGGGCTGGAGAGATAGCTCAGTGGTTAAGAGCAGTGATTGCTCTTCCAGAGGATCCGGGTTCAATTCCCAGCACTATATGGCAGCTCACAACTGTCTATGGTTCCAGTTAGTACACATGTAGAGCAGAGACATAGAGCAAGCAAAATACCCATACACATAAAATTAAAAAAAGAAAGAAAGAAAAAGAAAATTTGAGCCAAGTGGTGGTGGCACACGCCTTCAATCCCAGCACTCGGGAGGCAGAGGCAGGTGGATCTCTGTGAGTTCAAGGTCTACAAAAGCTAGTTCTAGGACAGGCTCCAAAGACACAGAGAAACCCTGTCTAAAAAAAAAAAAAAAAGAATAAAGATGGGAAGGAAGGAGGGAAGGAGGGAGGGAAGGAGGGAGGGAAAAAGAGAGGGAGGGTGAGAGGGAGGGTGAGAGGGAGGGAGGAAGGAGAGAGCTGCTTAGAAAAATGAGTATTGGCTGGACATGTTAGTCCACATCGGTAATCCCAGCACTTAGGAGGCTTAAAGCAAGAACATTGAGAGTTTCAGGCCAGCCCAAAGTATACAGCAAAACCCTGTGTAAAAAAGGTGTCAGCAAATCTACCTATGTCTTTACTCTTCAACTTTCCTCCAGTTACAATCGGCTAAGAGTCGCTACTCTCATGGAAGACAATCTCTACTAAGACTGTTGACCACTGTCTTCTGCTTTAACAGGGGACCTCAGTGTCTCATACTCAACAGGCAAGCCTGCTCTACAAGTTTTCTTTTTGACTTTTGAAAATAACATATATTGCCAGACAGTGATGGTGCACACCTTTAATCCCAGCACTTGAGAGACAGAGGCAGGTGGATCTCTATGAGTTTGAGGCCAGCCTGGTCTACACAGTGAGTTCCAGGACAGCCTGATCTATACAGAACTCTGCCTCAAAAAGCCAAAACACATTTATTTAAAAAAAAAAGTGAAATATTTTTTTATTGGGTTTGTGTTCATGACATAACAATTTAAGAAGTTGGTTCTCTTCTTCACCATGTGGGTTCCAGGCTCAAACTAGATTAGCAGTCTTGGACAATTTCTTTTACCCAATACGCATCTCATTGGCCCAGAATTTCTCTCCCTTGAAAAAAAAAAGGGGGGGGGGTGCTGAGAGACCTCAGTCAGTAAACTGTTTGTTGAGCAAGCATGAGGTCCTGAGTTTCATCTCCAGAACTTCTATGAAAAGAAACATGAGTTAGCACTGCTGTGGGAGAATGCTCTTGTACTCTGTAAAGATCTGTCACTTGTATTAGTTTAATAAAATGCTGACTGGTCAGTAGCCAGGCAGGAAGTATAGGCAGGGAAACCTGAGTAGGAGAATTCTGGGAAAAGGAAAGGCAGAAACAGTCACCAGCCAGATGCAGAGGAAGTAAGATGAGAATGCCTTAACTGAGCAAAGGTACCAAGACACGTGGCTAAATATAAATGAGAATTATGGGTTAATTTAAGTTGTAAGAGCTAGCTAATAATAAGAGAGAGCTAATAGGACAGTTTATAATTAATATAAGTCTATGTGTGTTTCTCTGGGATTGAACAGCTGCAGGACAAGGCGGGACAGAAACTTCTGTCTATATAACACGCTGTTTGTAAGCCCAGCACTGAGGGATTCTTAGAGCTTGCTGGCTAGCCATTCCAGTCTACTACTTTTAGGCCAATAAAAGACCTTACTTCAACAAGGTGGATGGCTTTTGAGAAACTACACCGAAGGTTAACTGTGTCTCCACATGTATGCACACACGTGCACCAGGACCCATATGCATGTCTAAGTGCAGACACACACATAAACATTATAAGCATGTAAACTCTCCCCATAAACTCATAACCTCCCTCCTGGGTATCCTGTTCTTACTTCCTCACCTCACACGTGTGTGTGTGTGTGTGTGTTGTATGGGTGTAATGAGTACAGGCGTAGGTGTGTGTGACTATGGAGGCCAGAATACTTACTGTTTTCCTTTTGCTCTCAGGTTCATTGTCTTGAGACATCTCTCACTAAACCAGAAACTAGCTAGACTGGTTAACAAGCAAGCTCTTAGGATCCACCTGTTTCTGTCCCCCAAATGCTCGGATAACAGGCACATGCAGCCATACCTGGCTTTTAAGTGGGTGGCTTTTTAAGGCTTGAGATTCAAACTCAGGTCCTCATCTTCACAGAGCAAGCATGCTTACCTACTGTGCCAGGCCCTACTCTCTCTGCTTAATGTATAAAAATCATGATTCTGTCTTGACATGCACTAAACTACTGTTATCAAAGTTCTCTATACTAAATCCTCCCAGTCATTTCCTCTATGCCACCTCTCTATGGCATGTGATGCTCCTACGCTCCTATGAAACCACCATACTGGGGCTTCTCATAGGGATTCCTTCTTCAGTCTCTACTCAAGACTTCATCCTATGCTACCTTCACTCTCTACAACTTTCACTATCATATATCAACAATTACTTATATTTCCAGTCTCAGCCTTTCTCCTGACCTTTAGAATAACATGTCCAAGAGGTTACTTGATATCTCTCTCCATATACATGTAGGGAAAACCCCTTAAGCCCACTATGTTCAAAACTGCACTTTCTCAGTCATTTTCATCTCAAGAAATTGCAGTATCATGAACCCCAATTCTTTAAAGCAAACTCCTTTTTTTTTTTTTTTTACTTTTCACTAGTTTAGATTTGTGTGGGGTGCAGCATTATATGAATCCTGCATCCATTGGCCTTTACAGGATGGTTGCCACCATTTCTATGGGTCCAATTCACCTTTTCCCAGAGTACTCTGACTTTGCGTGGTTTGCCTCCACAAGTCCCTGTGTGATTTTTTGCTTTGTACACACAAGCACATCTCTTGCCTTACAGAACTCACTCCACCTCAGGCAGAAACACCTTCCATTTGAAGAAGAGTTTTGTACCTACTTTGGTTATCTAGCAAAAACAGCCTTGCGCCACAGTCTTCCAGACATGGTCTTTTAGAAGTCTCGTTCCCAGGAAACCTCTACAGGCACCAAAACCAAGAACCCCTGTAGCACCCCAGCCGCCTGGCTAGCTTATGCCCCGAAATAACAACACACAAATTGTATTCTTTTAAGCACTGCTTGGCCCATTCTGCTTGTCCCATTAGCTCTAGCCCTCACTGGCTAATTCTGATATCCCCATCAACCCATCTCTAATAAACTGTGTAGCTCCGGTCTTACCGGGAAAGATTCAGCATGTCTGACCTGGCAGCTTGCTTCATCGTGCATGTCTGCCCAGGAGAGCGGAGCATGGCGTCTCTGAGCTCACTTCCTCTTCCTCCCAGCATTCTGTTCTGTTTACTCCTCCCACCTATGTTTTAACCTATCAGGGCCAAGCAGTTTCTTTATTGCTTAACCAATGAAATCAACAGATTGATATATGACACTCCCACATCAAACCCCAAGTCTTAAACAACAAGAACAAAAATACTATCTGTCTTCCTTCATGTTCCTTGCCCTTAGCTTTTTGTTGGTAAGTACATTTTTTTTTTTTTGATTTTTCCAGACAGGGTTTCTCCGTAGTTTTTTTGGTTCCTGTCCCGGAACTAGCTCTTCTAGACCAGGCTGGCCTCAAACTCACAGAGATCTGCCTGCCTCTGCCTCCCGAGTGCTGGGATTAAAGGCGTGCACCACCACCACCCGGCTTGGTAAGTACATTTTTACAACAACGAAAAAAAAAAACAGACTGGAAAATCTGTTTTGCTGTGAACATCCATGTGAATGAGCTCAAAACTTAAGATGCATTTTACCTAAAACATTAAAATCAAGTAAAAGGCCAGGCGTAGTGGTGCAGACCTTTAATCCCAGCACACTGGAGGCACACAGGGAAGCAGGAGGGTGGTGAATTTGCAGCCTGGCCTACAGAGTGAGACCCTATCTCAGAAAAGGAGAAGAAGAAAGAGGGATAATCTGGTAACACTGTTTTTGCATATAACCTAAATACTCTTTTCAGTGCTGGAGACTGAACCTAGGGCCTCGTTCATGATAGGCAAGTCTCCACCTATACCCTCACTTTTCATTTTTTGTTTTTAGATTTATTTATGTGTATTATTGTAGTCTGAATGTTATGTACACCACATGCATGCCTGATGCCCAAGGAGGTCAAATCCACTGGAACCAGTGACTGTGAGACACCATGTGGGTGCTGGAAACTGAAGCCAGCAGCAGGTGCTGTTAATCATGGAGCCATCTCTCCACCCTCCTGTATGCTCTCTAACTTTTAAAAAGAAAACTTTCCATTTGAAGCCAGATCACATGCCTGCCTTTAACCCCAGTACTGAGGAGGCAGAGACAGGCGTTCTAGGCCAGCCTGGGCTACAGAATGAGCTCCAGGACAGCAAGTTACACACAGAAATCCTGTCTAGAAAAAACAAGCCGGGTGGTGGTGGCTCACACCTTTAATCCCAGCACTCAGGAGACAGACAGGCAGATCTCTGTGAGTTTGAGGCCAACCTGATCCACACATGGAGTTTCAGGACAGGCTCCAAAGCTACAGAGAAACCCTGTCTCAATAAAAATAAAAGAAAAAACAAAGAACCCCAACTTTTTGAGACATACTCTGCCCACAATTCCCTCTGTAGTCTAGGCAAGCCTGAAGCAACAATCTTCCTACTTCGATCTCCCAAGTAGCTAGGATTAGAGGTCACACAGCAAGGGCAGTTTCATTTTTTGACAAATGCTAATTTAAGGCCAAGCGCTTTGCAGGCATTATGCTAAAAGCTAGGATTAAACTATGAAATAAGGCAGACTTGGAACTTATGACCGGGTGTGGCCGGGCAAAGTTACCAGAATAACTATGCTGACAATGAACAGACTGAGCTACTGAAAAATGACAGAAGGGCAATTCCAAATACTAAAACAGAACCGCCAGCAAAAGCATAAGGGTCTTACGAAAATACTTAATGGCCATCTGAGATAATTTGCATCTTAGATGACATATAAGCAGAATTGTTCCCGCCCTCAGTCTAAGGAAACTACATATAAAGTAGAGGAATGCGGGTTAAGAGTTGAGACGCGTATGAACTACATTAACAAAAATAATTTCCATTTCCCACAGGGCTCAAGGCCAGGAAACCAGGTCCTCACTCCTCCTGCTGCCAGGGCAACAACAGTCCTAAACTGAGAGACAGCATGTTTCTCTCTCGGCTCAGTCACCAGTCACAGCGAGGGCTTGAGAAACTCGCTCTAGCTCTACTGAGATGAGAACAGAACCAACACCCCAATAGGCCGGTCCGAAAGCAAGCTCCCTTTCACCTCGGTAACCCTTTTTGAACCCTGAGCATCACCGATGGGCCAGGGCGACCTCTGTTCTTTTTCCGGGAAAGGGTCTCGTTGGTGGCCTCCTTCACCCAACTAATACTCAGCGGGGAGATCTGATAATTAGCACCTCCGGAGACGCTGTGAAAACCCTGCTAGCTGAAAACCAACATACGCCAAAGGAATGAAGTGGGAGAGAAAGGAGAAGGGCTCAAGGAAGAAGAGTAAGCGTGAAGACATCGGGAGTTCCCAGAGCAGCAAATAAAGAGACTACAGGGCAACAATCTCCAAGCCGGCTCTTACCATCTGTGGGAGACGCCATCTTCCAGCCCATGTCACGTGACGGGGCCAACCGTCGGCGGGAAAGCGAGACCCCGCAAGCCACGCCCCTACGGAGATACCCTATCCTCAGTTCGCGGGCCAGGCTGGTTACCCGAGCCCATAGGGTAATATTTGCCTAGTCCCACCCCACACGCCAGCCCCGCCCGTGGTAGTTAAGGTGGAACGCAGACAAAATTCCCCGAGGGCCTTATTTACGTTCCATAGCAAGGGGGCGGGACCTCGGGGGGGGCCTACCTGTAGCCAATCAGAGTTCCCGGTTAGGGGGCGTCTTCCCTATCTCCGCTCCGTGCTTAATCTGCAGCACCAAGTCGGGGTGGGGGGGCGTCTCCCTGCCTCCGCCAACAAAAATCGGCTGAGGTGAAAGGGGGGCGAGAACGCTTCCGCTTCTGACCAATCACATATCTCCAGGGCTGGAAGTGACGGGAGGGAGTCAAGAGCTCTGACAAGTGATTGGTCAGGAGAAGTGACCCTCTCCTCCAATGGACAGACCCGACCTGTGGTGGGCGTGGCCTAGCGGCGTGACTTCTTGGAGGCACTGGCAGCCCCAGACTCGGAGAACTGGGCCGAAAAGGTGGTGGGCCATGGCGTCGGCAGTGGCGGCAGCGGCAGCAGTGCGGACCCGGATCCTGCAGGCGAGTGAGGGTGGCGACGAAGGACCGTGATGTTAGGAATGAGTCCTTACCGCCCCGACTCTAAACCATGCTCCTGCCGGACAAACTTAGTGGCCCAGCTCCTTTGCAGACCCTCGTTCCACCAAACCCGTGGGTCCGGGTTGTCACTCTGTACCGTCTCTGGCCTTGGATCCAGCCCCGGATCCTCACGCCTGGCGCTCCGTCTTTTCACTCCTGAGTCTTTCCTTTTCTGGCTCTGACCCACCCACCTCCCGTTAAGCTCAGTCCCTGCTGTCACTAGCTGGCCTCTTTCTCTCTCTGGTTCCTGCTAAGGTCTCTCTTTCACCTCTGCACCAGCCACCTCTGTTCCCCAGGAACTCCCCGTTTTGGTCACCTTTCTTAGGGTGCTTTTCTTTGCCAGGAGCCTCCCTTCCCCCATCCGACCTCTGTTAATAATCTGAGGTAAAGGGGCAGGGGAGCTCACTAGGGACCTGCAACGAGGGTCAGCGAAGGAACTTTGAATCGCCTAGAAATAAATGTACCCTAGGTTTTCGAATCAAAGGCAGCCATTTGCTAGCTGTTTTCACAAACTATCATGGTTCCTAGTGTTTTTTCACAAGTTCTGGGGTCAAGTTAAACTTTCTCTGCAAAGTTAAACGGAGTTAATTTTTAGAGTTAACTAAGGGCACATTGTTAATACTGCTTCGTTCAAAAGACTAAACATTTCCCAAACAGGTGGTAGAAAATGAAAGCCTAGGAAAACACGTTCCCAAAGCCAGCTCCTCAGGTGCCAGCACACCCTCCCCTCTGCCAGACTGGGATGGGAACCCCGCAGAAGCCAGCCTAAGGGCAGCTATAGAGCTACTAAGGAAGCTTCAAGCCTGTGATCCCAGCTTTGTGTATAGCCTCTTCTGTGTTTGCACCTTAGCAAGGACATAGAATATGAAGCAAGATTTACTATGTTCCTGGCAAGATTCATAATCCTGCATTAGCAACATTGTCTCCTTCTTACGCATCCAGCCTGGGAAGGTCCTCTATGCTGATGCACTTATATAAAATTTTATTTCTGTTCATCAGGTTTCTATGAGTTCTGCTGCAGAAATGTGTGTGTTTGTTAGATTATCGGTGGAGTCACCAGGAGTTCAGGAGTGGATGTGCTGTTTAATGAGACAGTGTGGAGGATGGGTTGGAGGCCATAGAGGGCTGGCATAGAGGGCTGGCATAGAGGGCTGACATAGAGGGCTGACATGACTCCACTCCCTAGTTCTACTCTGGTATCTTTTTCTAGTAAGAGAGACAGCATTTCCAGTCCGCATTTCCCATTACCAACCTCTTAAAATCCTTTATAGAAATTGCCCCCACCCCCATTCATTGTTAGCCCATCACCAGAGGAGCAGAATCTCTCTTCCCACGCATGTTATTTTTTAAACAGATATAGATTTTTTTTCTTTTTAGAAACCAATTTGAAGAAACCTCTGAACTGACTTGGGGAAAGGCCGGAAGTAGTTCTTAGACAACTAGGAGTTACTATAACGTGACACTCTGATAGAGGCTTGTCTGAATGGCCGTGGTAGGTCATGTACACAGGGCCAGCTCTTGGAGAAACTGCCACAGGAAAAATTTCATGAGACTGCTTCAAAACCAGTCTGGAAAGGGAATCAGCCAGAGATCAAGAGGGGAGATGAGGTCAATTGAAGACGAAAGTGACAAACAGCATATAGGCTAATGGTATGCCTGAAAATGCTGTAATGAAGCCTTTTACTTTGTAAATGGTTACTTAAAAAAAAAACAACAAGAAAAAAGTAATTTCTAAACTAAAGAGTAAAACTGGAAGCTGGAGAAAGCTCGAAGGATAAGTAAGAGCATCTGCTGCTCTTCAGAGACCTTGTGTTCAGTTCCCGGCACCCACCCTGGGCAGCTCACAACCCTTAACCCCAACTTTAGGGGATCTGCTGCCTTCTGTACCCATCCATGTTGCATACACTCGCATATACACAAAATTTTTAAGAAACTTAACAAAACAAACAAACAAAAAAAAAACCCACCTGGGTAACATCCCTAGCACCAGAAAAGGGGAAAAGAAAAGAAAAGAAAGAAAAATAAATAGAAAAAAATGTGTAAATTTGACAGCCACTGTCAGAAGAAACTAGGAAGGATCAAACTCATGTTTTCAGAGGGGCTTTTAAATTTTTTTAGGCTAGTGTACAAAGTAATGAGTGAGTTTTCAGTGAATTTAAATATTCGGCCTATCTTTTCTGTTTGGGGACTAGTAGAACTTAGCCTAAACTCTCTGCTTTGTATGATATTATCTTTCCTATTCATAGATTAAACAAAACCAGTCTTAACGAAACCCAGTGACCTGCCTCGTTGATGCCATGCCAATCTGCAAATTTAACCCTATCTCCACTACTTTCTAGCCAACATATCTGTGAGGATTAGAATTGAAAGCGCGGTGAAGTGAATTGACCGACACTTCAGGTCACTGACCCACGCTCACCCAGTTAGTAACTGATGGCACTGAGAATTTAGGACTTAGACCTCGGCAGGCCTTTCTTCCTTTACACCGTCCTAGACTTTGAACATACTCCCAACTGTAATGCAAGGAAAGCGCTAGACAATTGGAGGTCTCCAGAGCACTGAAGGGATGTAGGGAAATGAGTCCCAAACTCAACCGGTCTAAGTCAGCACAAGCTAGGGGAGAAGACAGGAAACAACAGGTAGGGGTTAGCAGCTAGAGCAGTGCTTCTCAACCTGTGGGTCATGACCCCTTGGCATTGAACGATCTTTTCGCAGGGGTCACAGATCAGACATCCTGCCTATCAGGTATTTACATTATGATTCCTAAAAGTAGCAAAATTACAGTTAGGAAGTAGTAATGAAAATAATCTTGTTGTTGGAGTTCACAACATGAGGGACTGTATTAAAGGGTTGCAATGTTAGGAAGGTTGAGAACCATTGCTCTAGAGAGCGAAAGTCAGAGGCTAGTTTCTTCAGGAATGGTGCTAATGAGTATTTCATAGAAAATGCGAAATAGATATGAGGTCTGACCCTGCAAAAACTACATGGTGATATTTCATGATAGTGGGCGCACTGTCTGCTTTATCTTCTTTACATGAGGAAGACTGTGTAGGTTAAAACATAAAAGTAACTGACCTAATATGCTTAAATTAGCTGATGAGTGCGTGTGCACTTTTTATGCTTAAGGGAGAATGCATGAAACAATATTACCAACAAATTATTGCTTGGGAAGGATTCATCCCTTGAGTCTGTGAAATAGTAACAAATCCTCAGTCTGGTAGAGGGACTAGGCTAGGGGCAAAGGACACAATGGTCTAGTGATCTAAAGAGAGAGACACTTAGTAACTAAACAAGCTGCCATCCTGTAATGTGGAATGAAAAATGGAAGAATTTGGGTGCCTTGTGAACGCCACGATTAGGTGCTTACCCCATACCCGAGGTTGAGACTTCCCAGAAGAGATGATGGCCAACTAGAAACCTGGGGGAGTAAAGAATGAACCAGGCAAGTGGAATGAAACAGAGTCAGACAAGATGGACAAAAGCAAAGAAGATAGAACTTGTCCAGCAGGCGAAGCAGGATAATGTCCGACTCCAGAAAGGCTGGACTATAGCGCAAGGAGGAAGTAGTGCTCACATTCTGAGACTGGAGAAGTAGAAGTACAGCCAGCACCGGGGTGCTAATCTTGATTGTAAGGGCAGCAGAAAGCCACTGGAGGTTTTGTTTGTTATGTTTTTTATTCATTTGTTTGTTTTGTTTTGCATTGCTGAGAGAAGAACACAGGAACTTGTACATGCTTGTTACTTTACCTCTGAGGTACACTCCCGGTGGAGTTCAGCATAAGCAGGTAGTCTAACCTAATTTCTCTTAGAAAGACCCTCTGGCTGGGCTGTGGTGGTGCACGCCTTTAATCCCAGCACTCAGGAGGCAGAGGCAGGCGGATCTCTTTGAATTCGAGGCCAGCCTGGTCTATAAGAGCTAGTTCCAGGACAGCCTCATAAGCTACAGAGAAACCCTGTCTTGAAAAACCAAAAGAGAGAGAGAGAGAGAGAGAGAGAGAGAGAGAGAGAGAGAGAGCCTTTGATTATGGAATAGAAACTATATTCAGAACTGGGAATAGTGGTGCATGCCTTTAATCACAGCACTCAGGAGGCAGAGGCAGGCAACTGTATCTCTCTGAGTTCGAGGCCAGCCTGGTCTTCAGAATGAGTTACAGGACAGCCAGGACTACACAGAGAAATGCTGTCTCAAAAAACAAAACAAAGACAGAGGGAGGGAGGGAGGGAGGAAAGAAGGAAAGAAGGAAGGAAGGGGAAGTAACAACTGGATTCAGAACATGTAAGATTGGAAACTATGAGACTTATTGGAAAACCACTATTGAAATCTGAGAGACAGCCATGGTAATGACTTGCAAAATGACAGGGTGAAGAGAGGAGAGGGCAGTGTGTTCAAAGATTTCTAGGAAGATAGATTGCCAGGACAGGTTTCATTCACTGATAAGAGAAAGGGAGGAGATGAGGTGACATGGTCAGCCAGGTAACTAAGGACCCTTTGCTCAGGTAGGTGGGCTGTAGGAAGTAGAGCAGACTGGTGGGAGGAAAGGGAGGAGTTCAGCTATGAAAATAGTTTCATGGTCTACCTGAAGGAGAAAAGTCTGGCTGGGAACTGCAGCCGTGGGGATGATCAGAGCCTAATGAGGCCACTGGAGTCATTCAAGTCTCTCAGGGAGAGTGTGTACAGAACAAGAAGAAAGCAAGTCCAGGGCTAAGCCTTGGGCAACTGATGTACTGTCCGTGAAGATGAGAATAAGCCAGTAAAAGAGACTGGGAGTAGACACAAAGGGAAAAGGGGGTGGGGTGGGGGTGGATAAGACACCAGGGCGGCATAGAGACAAATGAAAAGACTTCAAGAAGCCGGGCAGTGGTGGCGCACGCCTTTAATCCCAGCACTCGGGAGGCAGAGGCAGGCGGATCTCTGTGAGTTTGAGACCAGCCTGGTCTACAAGAGCTAGATCCAGGACAGGCTCCAAAACCACAGAGAAACCCTGTCTCGAAAAAAAAAACCAAAAAAAAAAAAAGACTTCAAGAGTAATGAACCACGTCACGTCTGCTGTGAGGCCAAGTCTAAGGAGGACTTAGAAGGATATAAAGTCACTGATGGCCGGGTGGTGGTGGCGCACACCTTTAATCCCAGCACTCGGGAGGCAGAGGCAGGCGGATCTCTATGAGTTCGAGGCCAGCCTGGTCTACAAGAGCTAGTTCCAGGACAGGAACCGAAAAGCTACGGAGAAACCCTGTCTCAAAAAAAAAAAGTCACTGATGTTTAGTCATGAAGGTTGGAGCAGATTGAAGAGTTGATGAGAGTTGTGTAAAGATAATTAAGAGAAGAATATCCAAGATCTCACAGTGAAGAAAAAAAGCCGAAAGGTCACTGGGATTTTGCTTTGCTCTCCCCAACTCCCTGGTCCTCGTGATCTTCATCAAAAGAATGCAAGGGAGACACACACACAGTGTAGTACAGAAATGAAACTCTCTATTGGTGCAAGTGTGCAGTGGCCAAGGGGACCATTGTCATAAAGCACACTGTCAAGAGGCAAGAATGAGCAGCGGACAAAGAAGCCACCATCCCAGCTTCCTATTGCTTGAATGTTTCTTAAGTCAACTTTTGTAGCATATGCTGAGTATGTTTAGAGGGACAATATGAGACTTAACATTATAGTTGAATCTCCCTCCTTAGTTCCCTGATTTTTTTACCCTACCAAATAGCAACATATAATCCTGCCATGAGGTACTTGTACCATTTTAAAAAATAGCTTCATTAAAGTGAAGTGGACACAAAATAATCTGTACATATTTTACATATAGCATTTGGTAAGCTTTAATGCCTGTGAAAGTATCACAAAATAATAAAAATAATTATTATCCCAAAACTTTCCCTTTAGCTCTCCTGACTGCTATTCCTCTCACCCCGGGTAACTACGGATCTGATGGTGCTATAGATGAGCTGGTAGCACCAAGTTTTGTTCATTTGTGTTTTGTTTTGTTTTTCAAGACAGGGTTTCTCTGTAGCTTTGGAGCTTGTCCTGGAACTAGCTCTTGTAGACCAGGCTGGCCTCAAACTCACAAAGATGCACCTGCCTTTGCCTCCCGAGTGCTGGGATTAAAGGCGTGCACCACCACCGCCTAGCTTAGCACTGAGTTTTATATAAGTGAAATCATCTAATGTTTCATCTCATTTTTTCCCCCATGGAACAGGGTCCAGACTGACACTGAATATATGTATGATCCTTCGGCTTCCTAAAGAGCATCTCCATACTCAACAATTGAATTTTCAGATTTTACTATTAGCATATATTCTGGGGGCTGGAGAGATAGCTTAGAGGTTAAGAGCATTGCCTGCTCTTTCAACGGTCCTGAGTTCAATTCCCAGCAACCACATGGTGGCTCACAACCATCTGTAATGGGGCCTGGTGCCCTCTTCTGGCCTGCAGACCTACACACAGACAGAATATTGTATATATAATATATAAATAAAATATTTTTAAAAAAATTAGCATATATTCTATAAAAGTGGGTTCTACTACGATATTTTCATATATATGCACTTTGATCATATTATCTAATAGGGGACGTTTGAGTAATTACCAAATTTGGGGCTAATGAAAGTAAAGGTATGATAAACATTTGTTTTCAAGTATGTGTGAATATATATTTACATTTTATTACTATTTAATCTGTATCCACATTGACTATAGACAATATTATTTATGGTTTATTACATTAACATTGATTTATTCTGTCTTCAACACTTACTTTAGAAATATTAAGTACTTTTGTTAGATTTGTGGTGACTGTATTTTGCAAAATATAATATAATGACAAAAATGATTATTTAAATCAAGAGTTCCCTGGAAATGCAGGACATTCCTTTTTTTTTTTTTTGTTTTTGTTTTTTTTCTTCTGGAACCTGTCCTAGAACTCTTGTAGACCAGGCTGGCCTCGAACTCACAGAGATTTGCCTGCCTCTGCCTCCTGAGTGCTGAGATTAAAGGTGTGCGCCACCACCACCCAGCTCCAGAACATGATTTTTATGATTTATTATTCCATAACTTTCTGTGTCTTCTAGTTTATTCTCAGGATTTTTATTTGGTTAGTTGTTGGGGTTCTTTTTTGTTTGTTTGTTTGTTTTTGTTTTTTGAGACAGGGTTTCTCTGCATAGTCCTGGCTGTCCTGGAACTCACTCTGTAGACCAAGCCAGCTACTCACAGAGATCCTCCTGTCTTTACTTCCTGAGTGCTGGGATTAAAGTCATGCACCACCAAGGCCTGACATTTATCAGATTTTTGTTTTGTTGAAAATAGGGTTTTACTGTGTAGCCATGGCTGGCCTGAAATTCACTCTGTAGACCAAGATTGTCTCCAAATCACAGAGACCGCCTGTCTGCCTCCTGCGTGCTGGGATTAATGTGCCACTGCACCTGCATTTACCAGATCCTTTTTAATCCCATAGGTTTCCTCTAAAGTAAGCTCCACATGGTACCCAGCGTCCTCCTTCTCTTCGTCGTCGGTGGTGAGTGATTTGGGCTCTAAAATGGACTTCTGAGAAGTCCTGGGAACGAACCTGGAACCTCTTAACTGCTGAGCCATCTTTCAGCCCCTTGTTTTGTGTTTTTAAAAACAGGTCTCTCAGCTTTAGGGAGGCAGAGGCAGGTGGATCTCTGAGTTCAAGTCTAGCCTGACCTACAGAGTGAGCTTCAGGATGGCCAGGGTTACACAGAGAAACCCTGTCTCTGAAATAAAACAAAGCAATACAAAAAACAGGTCTCATTATATAGACCTAGCTTGACTGGAACTCACTAGATCAGCTGGCCTTCAGCTCCTGCCACCACTCCTCCAAAGTGTGGAGGCTACAGATGTGTGCCACCATGCCCAGAAAATTTTTCTGCCTTGGTTTTCTTATCTGTTACTGTATCTATTATGTTTTAAACAGTTTCAGTGTTGTGAGGTGATCTTTATCTGTTACTGTATCTATTATGTTTCAAACAGTTTCAGTGTTGTGAGGTGATCTTTAGCATCACAATTTTTAATGACTATATAATAGTCCATCCAGTGTATGTAACTTGATTATCTTCATATAACATTTAGTATGCTTCACTTTTTCAATATTGTAAAATAACTATTCTTAGATAGTTTTGAAAAATTCTTGGACTGGAGAGATGGATCAGCAGTTAAGAGCACTGACTGCTCTTCCCGAGGTCCTGAGTTCAATTCCCAGCAACCACATGGTGGCTCATAACTATCTACAGTGGGATCTGATACCCTTTTTAGAAATAAAGGGATACAAGCAGATAGAGCACTTGTATACATAAATAAATGAAAATTAAAAATTTTTTGATTATTTTACTCTTTATTCTCGCAAGGTATAAACATTTCCATTGTGACTGGAAGGTTAAATTTTTGGTGGGGAAAGGGCTAGAGAGGTGGCTCAGCAGCTAGATCCACAATTCCTTCTTCATAGAAAGAGAAGCAAAAGAATTAATATAAAGGGTTTTTTTGGGTGTGTTTTTTTTTTCTCTAGCCAACTGTAAAACTCTTCATTGATGGGAAATTTGTTGAATCCAAAAGTGACAAATGGATTGACATCCACAACCCAGTAAGCAAAACTTTTTGGGGCACTTAAACCTACTAGCCCAGAATTTTGGGAGCAAGGGGTGGTGGGGGGAGGGACTCTGGGACTCTCCCATAAAGCACAATGTTGCCCCTGTAAGTAGATCAATGTGGGGAAGGTGAGGCACTAGCAATAAGTGATGGCTTCTTTTCAGGCTACCAATGAGGTCATCAGTCGGGTCCCTCAATCCACCAGAGCGGAAATGGATGCAGCTGTTGCGGCCTGCAAACGTGCTTTCCCTGAATGGGCAGACACGTCCATTTTAAGCCGTCAGCAGGTCCTGCTCCGCTATCAACAACTTATTAAAGAAAACCTGGTAAGGACTTGAGTGGTTTTCTAGCCTGTCTCCTAGGATACATTGGTCACCTCTTCAAAGACTTGTTGAGCTGTCCTGTAACTCTGCAATACAGGAGAACATTGATCATGGCCCCTTCCCTCATGACCTCATGAGTTCTCTCTTAGTTTTGTCTGTCCTTGGAGGAAAATAGGGGCAGAACTCAGTGGTAGAGTTTGTGCTTAGTGAGCATGAACAAGACCCTGGATTGAGCCTGGCAAGGTGGTTCATACCTGTAACTCTAGCACTTGGGAGGTGGAGGCATGAAAATCATGAGTTGAAGGCTAGCCTCAACTACAAAGTGAGTTTGAAGCTAGCCTGGGCTACATGAGACCTTGTCTCAAAAAAAATGGCATCATCAACAACAAAATCATGATGTATATTCCCACTATCAAGAAAGTGAGTAAATAAAGGAACAGCCTTGGATTGGTTTTTATGTGTATGTTTTCTCTCTAGAAAGAAATTGCCAAGTTAATCACACTGGAACAAGGGAAGACTCTAGCTGATGCTGAAGGAGATGTGTTCCGAGGCCTTCGTAAGCTGGGAGCCCCTACTGGGACTTGTGGGAGAGGTCAAAAGACAGTGGGAGCCGGGCGGTGGTGGCGCACGCCTTTAATCCCAGCACTCGGGAGGCAGAGGCAGGCGGATCTCTGTGAGTTCAAGACCAGCCTGGTCTACAAGAGCTAGTTCCAGGACAGGCTCCAAAACCACAGAGAAACCCTGTCTCGAAAAACCAAAAAAAAAAAAAAAAGACAGTGGGAGATTTACCCCAGAGTAGGGAGGTTGATTCTTTCTTTATGTAGATCTTGCTATCCTGTGGTAACTTTTTCCCTTTGTTTTGATTTGTTTTTTTGTTTTTGTTTGTTTGCCGGCTCCAAAATTATGACATGGAGAGTTATTATTAGTTATAAATATTTAACCTTATCTTAAGCTCCTACTAGCTCTTATAACTTAATTTAAACTGTTTTTCTTCATCTACATTTTGCCTTGGGGCTTTTTACCTTTCTTTCCTTCTGTATGTCCTATTCCATGTCTGGCTGACTGGCAGCTGCCTGGCTGGCTGATCCCAGGTGTCTCTCTTTCTTTCTCCTTTGTTCTCTTCTCTCTCTCTCTCTCTCTCTCTCTCTCTCTCTGTCCTCCCCCACCCCAGCCTAGAGTCTTCCTCCTACTTATTCTGTCTGTCAACCCTGCCTCTCCCTCCTTTGCCTAGCTATTGGCCATTTAGCTTTTTATTAAACCAATCAGGTGCCTTAGGCAGGCAAAGTAATACATCTTTACATCATTAAATAAATGCAGCATAAAGAAATATAACACCCCTTTACATAGTTAAATATTCTGCAGCATAAACAAATGTAACACATTTTTACATTGTTTAAGTACTATTCCACAAGAGTTTTTTGTCTTTTGAGGCAGAGGCTCACTGTGTATCTCTCTGGCTGCCTTGGAACTTACTAGGTAGCCAAGGCTGGCTCTAACCCATGGTCTTCCTACCTCATCCTGCAATGTGCTATAATTATAAGGTGTGTACTACCACACTAAGCAATACCTTTTAAAACATTTTTAAAGGCGATACTTGTTAGGTACCTTTGAGACTAATATACTGGGTTTCGGAGGGCTTTAATTAATTTATTTATTTTATGAATGCGAGAGTACTCTATCTGCATGTGCACATTTTTGGCAGAAGAGGGCATCAAATCCCACTAGAGATGGTGGTGAGCCACCATGTGGTTGCTAGGAATTGAACTTAGGACCTCTGGAAGAGTCAGTACTCTTAACCACTGAGCCATCTCTCCAGCCCCTTGGGTTTTTTTTTTTTTTAAAGCTCAAATGTTTCATAACATTTGCACTGTCTTTCTTACACACTCAGAGAATCTGTTTATCTAATCTCCCCACATGGAAGGCCAAATCACCGGTCTGACCCACCCCGTATTCTCAGGATTGGATAGAACATAACAAAGCTAAGTAGTATTCAGTCTGTCTTCTCTCTTCTAGAGGTGGTCGAGCATGCCTGTAGTGTGACATCCCTTATGCTGGGAGAGACCATGCCATCTATCACCAAAGACATGGACCTTTATTCCTACCGTCTGCCTCTGGGGGTGTGTGCAGGCATTGCACCATTTAATTTTCCTGCCATGATCCCCCTTTGGATGTTTCCTATGGCTATGGTTTGTGGAAATACTTTCCTAATGAAACCATCAGAGCGAGTACCTGGAGCAACTATGCTTCTTGCTAAGTTGCTTCAGGATTCTGGTGCCCCCGATGGAGCTTTGAACATCATCCACGGACAGCACGAAGGTAACTTTTTTATGTGTCTACTTATCTGACTCCCAAAGGAATTAAGGTGTTCAGTATTGGTTGGTAATTTTAATGTTTATTTATGTGCATGTGACTCTCTGTGTGTCTGTCTGTCACATATATTGGGTACCTGAAGAGGCCAGATCAGGGCATTGGCTCTCCTGAAGCTGGAGTTTCAGGTGTCTGTGAGGTGCCCAGTATGTGTGCTGAAAACTGAATTCATATCCTCTGGAAGAGTGAGACGCATTCTCAACCACTGAGCCATCTCTCCAGCTCTGTGATTGGGGATTTTAGGATGAGGAAATTAGCAAGGGAAGATTTACTAATAGTAACTTCCATGTTTTAAGGTCATGTGTCTTAACCGTCTTGCCATTAGGATGGGTTAAAGTAACTAGGTAGTAACAGTGTTCCTTACTCTATACCACATGTTAGGATACCTGAAAAATGGACTAGGACCAGACAAAGATAAGATTAAAGAGAAAGTTCATTTTCTTGTTTACTAGCTCAACAGCCCTTTAAAGGAGGTATTATTTTGAATCTTACAGATGAGAAAATGAAGGCAGAATGCAATTAAGTCATTTGCTCTACGTAACGCTACCAGAAACCAGGAAAATTAGGATATGTCTATTCAGGAAGGCTGGCTCTGATTCTTACTTTTAAATAGTGTACCCTATCAGAACCTCTTGCATGAAGGTCTAAGTATCTGAGAATCTTAGACATAACATATTCTTAAAGGATAAAATGAAAGAATTAAGTTTTGAAAGAGCATTATTTTATTTGAGAAAAATAGAAATTGTAGTCTTTATGGGCTGTCAAAATGGATCAGCATGTAAAGGCACTTGGCAAATAAGCAAGATTCCTGGAAACCATGTAAAGGTGGGAGGAGAAAACCAATTCCACAAAACTGTCCTCTGATGTCTACATGCACAGAGACACACACATCATCATCACCATCACACACATGCACACAATAATGAAAATAACGTTTAAAGAAATTATGACTTTCAGAGATTAGAAATGTTTCCATTTAGAAGTGTTTCTACAATACTAAATAACAAATAGAAATAATAACAAATAGAATAAATAACAAATAGAATTTGTAACTTAAAGACAGGTGTGAAGGCACATGACTGTCAACCCAGGACTTGGGAGACAGAAGCCAGTGGATCTCTGCGCGAAATAAGAGCACATCACAGTGGGATTTCCATGTAGATATGTTTGAATGTTAATTAACAGTCTGGGAAAGGGGTGATTTGCTATGTTGATAAGCCTACAGGCTTCTTTATGGTAATAATTTATTTTCTTTTTAAAGCTGTAAATTTTATTTGCGACCATCCAGACATCAAAGCAATCAGCTTTGTGGGCTCCAACCAGGCAGGAGAGTACATCTTTGAAAGAGGGTCAAGAAATGGCAAGAGGGTTCAAGCCAACATGGTAATTTCTCACTCCCCTCACTCCTCAAGCTTGGCTGTGTGTATATGGAAGAGCTAGAGATTGTCCTCAGTAGTCAGGACACTCATCCATGTCCCGTGAAGCCAGCATTCGTCACTTCATCCTGACTGTCTTCCCCTTAGTCCCCAAACCTTGTGAAGTTTAATTCTGTTGTGGTGACCATCTTTTATCATATATAATTAATCTTGGTAACAAAGGACATATTCTTCCTCAAAAATGTTACTCAAATTCTTTAGTCTTCAGCAGTAACAGCCAAATTTTTCTTTCTAGACCTTATTTCTTGATTCTTTTAAAAGTGTACCCTAACTATTATTGATATGGCTTAAAAATATGATAAAGATACAGTTATCTTTATTATTGTTGTTGTTATTTATCGTTGCAACAACCAGTTTGTTAAGGGTCTGGAAAGGGACTGGGTCACATAAGGTTCATGTCCTCATATAATACATAGTTTAGCCGGGCGATGGTGGCGCACGCCTTTAATCCCAGCACTAGGGAGGCAGAGACAGGCAGATCTCTGAGTTCGAGACCAGCCTGGTATACAGAGCTGGTTCCAGGACAGGCTCCAAAGCCACAGAGAAACCCTGTCTTGAAAAACAAAAAAAAAAAAAAATAGTTTACTTTTGTAGTTTACTATTATTTTGTTTGGTTTGGTTTTTTGAGACAGGGTTTCTCTGTGAGTTCTGGCTGTCCTGAAACTCACTCTGTAGACCAGGATGGCCTCAAACTCAGATAATCTCCTGCCTCTGCCTCCTGAGTGCCAGGATTAAAGGTGTGCGCCACCACTGCCCCTTCTACTAGTCTCTTAACCTGTCAATTTGAAAGTAACATCTTCCCTGCTCCCACCACCATCTTGTAAATGGCTTTGACCTAAATGAATACATACCAGTTTCTCAAGGATATTAAAATAAATGGAGCCCTGTTTAGTATTGCTTAGACTTCAGCAGTATGGAAAATAGTCTCTGGCCAGTGCTACAGAGTGAGTTTAATACTAGCTTTGGCAACCCAGTGAGACTCTGTCTCAAAGTAAAATGTTTAAAAAAAAGAGATATACCTCAGTGGCTAACATTTCCTTGTCATGTATGAGACCTAGGTTCAATTCCCAATATTGCAAAATTTTTTTAAAAAAGCCATTTTAATCTAGGCAACGTGCAAGATTAAACAGCAAGATGAAAACTAAAAAAAAAAAAAAAAAAAAAAAACCAAAATAACAAAAGATACAGTTTTTCCTTAAATTCTCATTTTATATATCAGATTCTTTGCCTAAGTTCTGGCTTAACTTAATTAATTTAGCTAAGAAGACCTGTCCACTTTTCGCATTTCTTTAGGGTGCCAAAAACCATGGGGTAGTCATGCCAGATGCCAATAAGGAAAACACCCTCAACCAGTTGGTTGGTGCCGCATTTGGAGCTGCTGGCCAACGCTGCATGGCTCTTTCAACAGCCATCCTTGTAGGAGAAGCTAAGAAGTGGCTGCCAGAGCTGGTGGAGCGTGCCAAAAATCTGCGAGTCAATGCAGGTAACCAGTCACCTGCCAGGTAACCAGACTTTGCTTCCCTGGCACTATCTTAGATCTGGCATTGGCTTTGCCCAGGGGAGCCGTTCTGTACACTTCTACTGCTGCCTCTCTTGAACTCTACTTGTCATTCAGAGCTATTTCAGCAAATTTTTTATTGATATCAACCTTGGACCCTTCTGCTTGTTCTATAGGAGACCAGCCCGGAGCTGATCTTGGCCCTCTCATCACCCCCCAGGCCAAAGAGCGAGTCTGCCGTCTGATTGACAGTGGAACAAAAGAGGGGGCTTCCATCCTTCTGGATGGGCGAAAAATTAAAGTCAAAGGCTATGAAAATGGTAACTTTGTTGGACCAACCATCATCTCCAATGTCAAGGTAAACAACTCTGGATTATATCACAAATGCCAAAGCTGAGAACACCTTAGAGGCTCTGGAATCTCTAATTTATGAGTGAAGACTATAACTCTTGCCAGGATTTCTGTCTGAAAGCTAAATAAGTCTCCCTGACTCCCAACCAGAGCTCTTTACAATGGACAGCACATGTCCTGGTTTGCTTTCTATTGCTGTGATAAAACATGACTAAAAACCACATAGGAGAAGAAAGGGTGTATCTCTTTTTGTTCCAATCACATGCCAATCTGATGGAGGTAATTCCTCAGTTAGGGTTCCCTCATCCCAGCTGACTGGAGTATGTCAAGATGACACAAAACCAACCAGTGTGGCAGCCTCTCCCTGGAAGACGAAATATCCTCAGCCTTGCGAAAAGGAGTCTGTCACAGTTATTCTGGTGCACAGTACAAATCAACCACAAGTTTGTGGCTGTGTGCCAGTAAGATTTTATTTATGGACATACACTTGGGCTTTATAATTTTATGTCATGAAATAGTCGTCTGGATTTTTTCCTAACCATTAAAGAAAAGGTAAAAACTATTCTTAGCTTGTGGGCTGTATAAGAACAAGCAGCTGCCACATCTGGTCTACAGGCAGTAGTTAAAACCCTTTGTGTTACATTTCCCTTCCCCACTTGCTCATAGCTACTATAGTGCCCCATTCAACATATTAACTACCCAGGATTTATAGACTATCTTATCCCATGCCCAAAAGTTAATTTCATCTTTACTAAAATGAAAAAAAGAGATCATCAATCAATTTTATATGTCAAAGTTTGAAAGTCTCTCAGCTAACATTTATGATGAAATTGAGGCAGGCTTTTTGTTGTATATCCTCACTAATCCTGAAAGATCACAGGTTGAAGTTCCTTGCCACAGAACAGCAGAGGAAAAACTTATTGGCAACACACACAGTTGGCTAGATATAATGGTGAAGGATGTTTTGAATATTTAACTAGAAACTCAGGATCAAAATTGGAGACTTATTTGAAAGCAAAGGAATGAGTGAGAATGGGTGTTTGGTTACAGAGCACTCAGCAAGGAGTTTCTAGAAAAGTTCTGGTGTACTTAATATATGTTTGTTCATAAAAATGACTTTTCATGTAACTTTCATTAACAACATATGAAAAAAGTTGTACAAGTATTAAAAAGGAAGCTAGTAATGGGTCTTGAACTTGAAATAGGGCACTGAACAGCAAAGAATGCAAGAATTCCAAGATATTTATATGATGGGAGTGCCAAAGGTTTCCACCTTTTGAACAGAAGTAAGGGAAGATGGAAGATTACTAGCACGAAAGCTGCTTGTGGAGTCAGGGTGCCAAAAATGCAAAAGTACTCAATTTAAAAAGATGACTTCTTTCTGGATCCATCTCTCCTGACAGCCAAGTATGACCTGTTACAAAGAGGAGATTTTTGGCCCAGTTCTTGTGGTTTTGGAGACAGACACATTGGATGAAGCCATCAAGATTGTAAATGACAACCCATATGGAAATGGAACTGCCATCTTCACCACCAATGGAGCCACTGCACGGAAATACTCTCACATGGTGGATGTCGGACAGGTTTGTGAATGGAGTCTTTGAAGATTCTTATAACTAAGAGGACAAAACAGTACACAATGATCAGTCAGCTGCAACTTGTTTGAAGACTGCACCTTTAATTGCCCATAATTTCCCATCCTTTCCTCAGTAATAAAAATTCTTAGGGTGAAGCACAGGGTGCAAAGATGACTACTCAAAAATTGCTACCTCTAAAAAAACCAAACCAAGCAAAATGTAAAATCCAAAGAGAAAAATAAAATTGGTCTCTGTAGTCTTTGTGCTTCTATATGGACTCTCTGTGGGTTGAGCTGTGATCAGTACTTGATGTGCGTTTCTTCTCTTTAGGTGGGCGTGAATGTCCCCATTCCAGTGCCTTTGCCAATGTTTTCCTTCACCGGCTCTCGATCTTCCTTCAGGGGAGACACCAATTTCTACGGCAAACAGGTAACTTTTGAGTTGGAATTTTCTTTTCCTTTGAGAAACTTTCTTGAACATCTTCAGAGCAAGATTACATAAGGAAGGACCGGCTGGCAGCTGCTGTGGCATCATCTTTTCTGCTCTGTTTCATAGGCCCCCCAAAAAAGATTTAAAAGTTAACAAAATTTTGCCAACCCTCTTCATGTGTAACTCAAGGCAGTAGGTTTAGAGAAAAGAGTATAAGGAAATCCAAACCTTTGTATAGATCATCTCCTTTTTCTGTGACCCTCTGTCATCTGAATGACATCTGACCATTTAGCATGTCTTGGCTTAAAGATCCTCAAGCTTATTCTTTTTTTTTAAAGATTTATTTATTTATTATGTATACAACATTCCTTCCATGTATGTTTGTATGCCAGAAGAGGGCACCAGATCTCATTATAGATGGTTGTGAGCCACCATGTGGTTGCTGGGAATTGAACTCAGGACCTCTGGAAGAGCAATCAGTGCTCTTAACCTCTGAGCCATCTCTCCAGCCCCCTCAAGCTTATTCTTATACAATAAATTATCCATATATTAAGTGGGGTGGGATTGAACATAGGTCTTGAATCCGTACACTATTTTAGGTTTGCCACTTTACATAATATAGTACATTATCACTGACTACTAGAAATAGAAATTGCTTAATACCAGTAACTTTACCATGTTACTTCAGTTTCTCCTCATAACATCAATAAAAGGTGTTTGTGATATCACACATTATCACAGACAGGGCTCAAGAGTTAGCCATAGTAAAGGGTAGAAGCAGGATTTGAGCAAAGTCTGTTGACCTTGCTTCTTAGCTTTGAAATAGAGTGGCCTGAAAAGTTAACAAGATTACCTCACTCAGTTTTTCTGCTTTGATACCCTTATGCTTAAAATTCTAGCTTTAGTATATTAATGATGTCTAAGGTTTGACTGTTTAGTGTGTGGCAGATATTATGTCAAGTGTTTTTATTATTTAATTCTTTGTGTGAGAGATGGGAAGGGCTATCCATTCGGAGGTCAGAAGACAACCTTGGGTGTCAACCCTTGCCATCTTGACTCCTTGTTGTTTGCCAGACTAGCTGGCCCTTGAGCTTGCAGAGAGCCTCCCATCTCACCACACAGAATTACTGAAGCTTGCTACTATACCTGACTTTTAAGGGTTCTGAGAATCTGAACTCAGGTCCTAATGTGGCAACTGCTTTAACCAAAAAGACATCTCCCCAGATTTATTTTTTTTGGAGACATGGTCTTATATATCCTAAGATGGTCTCCAACTCACTGTTGTAGTTAAGGATGACCTTGAACTTCTGATCCTCCTGCCTCTGCCTCTTGGATCTAGAATTATAGTTATGTCCTACCATGCCTGCTTTATTCCATGTTGGAGACTGAATCCAGGGCTTCATGCATATTAAACAAGCATTCTACCAATTGAGCTATATCCCAGCCCCATAAAGGTGGTTTTATTTGGGAGAGGGTTGTTTTCATTTTATACACACACACACACACACACACACACACACACACGTGTGTATGTATTTTGCCCACATACATGTCTGTGTACTATGTGTGTAACTGATTCTCTCAGAGGCCAGAAGAGGGTGTTGGATTCCCCTGGAACTGGAGTTACGGGTGATTGTGAGCTACCAAGTGGGTACTGGGAATGAAACCTGGGTCCTTTGCAAGAGCGGAGTTGCTATTAATAGCTGAGCCATCTCTCCACACCCCCGTAACTGTTTTAAGTAAACTATCTCATGAACATTGGATTTTGATCACTCAGATAGGAACCTGAGTATGTTAGCATCACCTTCAAAATTAATTTGAAGTTACATACTCCTAGAAGTATACACTGACTTTTTTTTTGTTGTTCTTTTTAGGGCATCCAGTTTTACACTCAGCTAAAGACTATCACATCTCAGTGGAAAGAAGAGGATGCTACTCTTTCCTCACCTGCTGTAGTCATGCCTACCATGGGGCGTTAGAAGCAAGTTCTTCAAGACTCAATACAATCTGAGTCATTTCCCGTCATTCTTGGCCACCTTCACTTGCCATCTTTGCTCAAATCAGATCCATGATAATGGAATATGATGCAACTAAACTCTTTCTTAGAACTGCTAGTCCCTTCAAAGTAGTAAGGAGACGGCAGGGAAACACTAGTGCTGTCTGCACTTGCTCTCTGTACTTCTGTTCTGGAGGTAACTTGTAATTGTGAAATGCTTACCTGGAGTGAGAGCTGAGAACTGTCTTCTAACAGTTCTTCTAATGACTTGGAAAGGAATGCCAGTGTAGGGACAGAGTTCCCAATAATTGGAAGAACTCTTGGATAGGGAAATAGGAAGTAACAGTTCACCCTCAGGTTGAGCCTCAAACACAGCCCTCCATCGATTCTCACACTTTATGTTTTCTCTTATCCCAACATTGTGACAACTGCTGCTTCTCTGCTCAATGCCACTTTCTTCTTGTTTTGATTCATGACCACTTAATTCTATCATTGTCCATATTCTTTTCTTAAAATACTTCTCAAAGATACCTCAGGACGCAAACAATATGTTAGCTTTTCGTTATGTGTGCCATGTTTCATGGTTCACTTCAGCAATCATTATCAATACTCTAGCCATTAATACAGATGCAAATAAATCCTTAGAAAAATTATATCGCAAGTTATTTTTTACCCAGAAATCAAAGAATGTTCCAATCATGAAAGTGGGTAAGATTCTTTGCCTTAAAAAGCCTAACCTATTTTTTATTTGCCAAATTTTGTGTTATTCTTTCTTTTGCCAGCATTTCTCATTAGTTGATACTTTTTAATGAAAGATCTTTTCATATAGAATAATCGATTCGGCTACAAGAAACTTACAAGTTTCCATGCTTTGACAGTATTTGGCCATCACTTCTTCAACTGTCTTTTAACTTGCCTCTCTGATGATCTAAACCTTAAGTCAGAAGAGGCATCTGTGCTGAATAGAGTAGTTTCTGGCTGTCTGACCTGTCTGAAGCCCAGCTTTCTGAACTAGACAGCTGCTTGCTCTGCTAGCTTAATCCTCAGTGCTGAGTGAGCTGTGGTACCAATCATTTATTTTCCTCTGTTCTATAGTCACGTGGACAGTGCTGCTCTGGTCCATCAGGTTATTTGGTGAGTTAAAATAAAGGTGGTGAAAAACCTTGAAAATTCCTACTCTGTGGGCATAAGATTATTAGGGTATCCTCATCTGGTAGAATTCAGAGCCTTCAATCATTTTAACAAAATACAACTCTGATTTTTTTGTTTTCCATCCTAAAGTCAAGTAGAAACTTGTAGTTTGTGATTATAACACCCTGTGTTTTCTTATAAAACATAGTTCATACCTAATTCAATCCAACAACTTTGGGCTGGGTTGATAAGTGGTTATTATCTAAATTCCAAACAGAATTTAATTACAAAAAATCTAATATTTTCATTAGATATAAAGGACAGTACTTTTAAAAACTGCCGACTAATCAAAATTGTGTTACTTTAATTAGAATCAACTGATTTGGGCAGCTACTTATGCTCAAAGAGTTTGTTTCTTAGATGAAATTTACAGTTCTATTCAGGTTAGTATCACTAAAACAGATAACCAGCATTTTCCTTTTTATTCTTTTATGATCTCATTTGAGTTTTGTCAGATTATGTACTGATTATGAATAACCAAGTACAAATAAAAAGTTCTTAAGGAAAAAAAAGCCCTTGGAAAAAAATGGTCTTTTTCTTCCTTTGTTCTCCAGGTTACAGTGGTTTCTGTGTCTGATATATGCTCAAAGCCAAGAACTGCAAGGATATTCTGTCTGTGCTCCTATAAAGACAGGAGGGCTGAGGGTTAGCTCCACAGGGAGACACAAAGCTTCATTCACCAGCACTGAAAACAGTAATGCAATACACATTTTGACTAAGCCGCCTATTTCAGAAAGAAATCTATAGGTTCTTCAGGTACATATAATATGCCTTATTAGTATGGACATTGTCACAAAATTTTCTATCGTCTCTTCCTTAAGAGCTGCTTGGGTAGTAGAGAACTGTGAACTAGCCAGACATCATATAGTGAAAGGTTAACAATAGTGTATTGTCTGATTAGATAGCAGATTCCTTACTCTGTCAAAGTCCTGTAATCCTTTAGAAATAACACCAGGTGACATCATTTTATTGGAGTCTGATACTGGAGCTTGCTGGGTGATGAAGGTTTGATCTGGAAGGTTAATTTCATCCCTATAATGACAAAATAGTGCTGTCAACAGTCATACATGGAATTTGGTTCAGAACAACAGACTTGCTAAATCATTCTCACTTAACTCCAGCTCTGAAATATCCACAAGGGACACTGTGATCAGGCTTTTGTTCGTAACTCTGGCAGGAGAACTCTTACCCAGTTTCTTTCATTTCTTCACTGTCAGGAATAATATGGTCTGGAACAGGAGGCTTAGAGCTCTGCTTGTATTTCCTGTGATGGATAAACATCAATAAACAAATGAGGCCATGTCTTCTTGTGCCTTCCTATTTCAATACCCTTAAAATGAGTCAAATTTCAGTTAGATAAGGTTTCCATTTTAAGAATGAGTTTTATACACACACACTATATATATATATATATATGCACACATATAAATAAAACAAATATATAAAAATACATATAAATAAATATATAAGCAAACATACAGTTTATTTTGGTTTTGGTTTTTTGTTTGTTTTTGTTTTTTTTAAGACAGGGTTTCTCTGTGTAACAGCTCTTGCTGTCCTAGAACTCTGTAAACCAAGCTGGCCTTGAACTCAGAGATCTGCCTGCCTCTGCTTCCCAAGTGCTGGAATTAAAGGCATGTGCCACCATTGCCTGGCTAAAATGTGATATATTAAGTAATGGAATATAATAGCTTAGAGTTAAGACATGTTGAATTCCAGAAACAAATATCTATGGAGAGAACCATAATAGAGGTCCTCATGTCATGTCATGCACAGTGAGTAATGACTAACGGCGAGGCTGAATGAGAGAACTGATCAAACACCCAGGACGTTCCCTTCCCACAGTGGATCCATGGGTAAAAGTACTTGTTGCAAAAGCAAGAAGACATGAGTTCAAATCTAGCATTTGGAGGAGGATACAGGTAGATCCTGGGAACTAAACAACAAAAAAGAATTTATGTCAAGTGAATGGTTTTCGGTTGTTCTGAGATAGAGTTGGCTTCCAGTTCAACATGAAGCTAAGGATGAACTGAACTCCTGATCCTCCTTCTTCAACCTCTGGAGATAAGAGGAATTATATAGATTGGGGAATCTGTCTTCATTGTGAAGATCAAGAAAGTTCTGACAAAGGAAAAGCTTGAGCCAATAATACCCAAGTTAACATACAGAAAGGGTAAAGAGCAACTTCAGGGCACATATAAACAGACACACAGACCCTCAGGACACAGAAGTTAGCCAGTGGTAATAGGTGCAATATACTTCAGAAAGTGTAGGAATGTAATTGATTCATTATTCTGAATGAGTGAGCTTATAGAGATCAAGTGATATGGAATAATCCTTCGATACACTATGAAGATATATTACTCTCATTGGTTAATAAAGAACTGACTGGCTGCTCTTCCAGAGGTCCTGAGTTCAATTCCCAGCAACCACATGATGGCTCACAACCATCTGTAATGAGAACTGGCGCCCTCCTCTGGCGTGCGGGCATATATCGAGGCAGAATGTTGTATACATAATAAATAAAAATCTTTAAGACTAGCCTGGGTGACAAAGTGAGACAGAAGCAACCTGAGCTACATGACACTCTGCTACAAAACAAAAAACATCAGCCTAAAATAATTTGTTCATCTCTGCAAACCAATGTAGGCTCAACAGTTAAATTTTCCTGAAGGTGGGGCTGGAGAGATGGCTCAGTAGTTGGGAGCACAGGCTGCTCTCCCAGAGGTCCTGAGTTCAATTCCCAGCAACTACAAGGTTTTCCACAACCACCCGTAATGAGATCTGGTGCCCTCTTCTGACATGCAGGCAGAACACTGTACATAATAAATAAGTCTTTGAAAAAAAAAAAAGTTTCCCTGAAGGTGCTGGCCATTCAGCCCATCAGTGATCCTTAGGAAGCATCACCTTAAATGTCTGAGATTTATTTTCTCTCTCCCATTTCCACATCTCCTTTAGTTTTTGTGTTTATTCGTTCATCTCCCAGTCTTTGTCTATAAGAGTTGCAACAGCTGAGCAAGTAGCTAAGGCCTTTCTGGTTCTTTAATATATTTCTGTAATTCTCAATAGCAATACAGTCATTGTCCCCATGTGGCTTCTAGGTTTGATAACCTGACATTTCATTACAAGAATGGGAAATTACCTCGCAGCAAAACCATTCATTTTTGCAAAGAGCAATCTTAAGACTTTCTCCTTTTGCTCCCAGGTCAAATCTCTAATATCCACATTTTTTTGAGTACTTGGCCTGAAAAATTAAAAAAAAAGTGAAAAATGTGACCAAAGTAAACTGACCAGATAATATATAATGATTTCAAAGCCAACTGTGCACATTACAAAATTATAACTTGAAAAGGGTCATCAGAGCCGGGTGGTGGTGGCGCACGCCTTTAATCCCAGCACTTGGGAGGCAGAGGCAGGCGGATCTCTGTGAGTTCGAGACCAGCCTGGTCTACAGAGCTAGTTCCAGGACAGGCTCCAAAGCCACAGAGAAACCTTGTCTCGAAAAACCAAAATAATATTAATAATAGCCACCTTTACAAATGTCTGTCATGAGAAAAATGGGGATGGCTGCTAAAAACACACACAGCCTACACACTATGCCAGTACAGGGGCTATGAAGATAAGTCCATTCCTGTCCTCAAGTAGCTTACTGCAAAATCTAAAATCTGTCCAACAGACTGAATCTGCTCTTTTCTAGAGGAAAGAAGACAGGCTGTAGCCCAAGCCAGGAATTTCTGTCTGTCCTGTGCTAGGACCTGCTGAGTTTTCCTTTTTTTTTTTAAAGGATAAGAAAACAAGGACACAAAAAGACAATATATTACAGTGCCATTAGTACCATTTTTCAGCCTCCATGAGATCCTGATTCACACTATTGGTACTGTGCTCTTTGCCATCAAAGGTCCTGATTTTGGGATACTCCGTTCTTCCCTCACATGCTGATCTCATTTTTAAATTGAAAGCAGCTTGTGCTATCTGCTTGTATTGCTTCCTGTTGATGAGAATCTGCTCCTTCACTTGGTATAGAGCATCGAGAAAGAACTGTTCCACTTCTGTCCTCTCGTCCAGGATGTTCTTAGCCAGCTTCTTCACTCGATTCATTTCCCTGTCCTTCATCTCAAGAAGCTGCTGCAGCTTGTCAATTTCTACCTGACCTGCCTGGTTCTCTATAATTGCCTTTTGCTGCAGTTTCAAAACTTCAGCCTCAAACTCCGTGGTCATATAGGTCAGAGCGTTCTCCAAGCTTACCACCTTCTTCTGAAGAGTTTGGATTTGTGATTTCTGCTGGGTAAGTTGCATAATCTTTTCCTTAACCAATAGCTCGTTGATTTCCTAAAAAACAGAAAGTAAGGGTTTTTTTTTCTTTAAATATTCTAGAACTTAGGGCTGGAGAGATGGCTCAGTGGTTAAGAGCACCATCCTGCTCTTCCAAAGGTCCTGAGTTCAATTCCCAGCAACCACATGGTGGCTCACAACCATCTGTAATGAGATCTGGTACCCTCTTCTGGTCTGCAGGCAGAGCACTGAGAATACTGTATACATAATAAATAAATAAATCTTTAAAAAAAATATTCTAGAACTTAAAAGTCCCTCAATAATTTTTTAAAATTTTATTTATTCATATTTTATGTATGAGTACTCTGCATGTATACCTGCACACAAGAAGAGGGCATTGAGTCATATTACAGATGGTTGCGAGGAACCATGTGGTTGCTGGGAGTTGAACTCAGGACCTCTGGAAGAGGAGCCAGTGCTCTTAACTGTTGAGCCACCTCTCCAGCCTCCCTTAATATGTTCTGTTACCTAAGGGGATCTGAGCTTCATGTTAGGCTGAGGCAATTATTTTGATATCTCTGTGGGCAGAAAAACATCTTTAGATCCTTGCCTAGGCTTGTGAAAGCAATCAGCTGATTTTATTAATTAGGAAACTTACAAACTTCCTCTATAATTCCTTTTTACCTTTTTTCCCTGCCATAAGAGGGCACCAGATCTCATTATAGATGGTTGTGAGCCACCATATGGTTGCTGGGAATGGAACTCAGGACCTCTGGAAGAGCAGTGCTCTTAACCACTGAGCCATCTCTTCGGCCCCCCTCTATAATTCTTACAAGGATATATATTATTAAAATCAATAAAATTGTGCGAAACCACTGGCAAGTCTATAAAGAAAACTGTAGCAGATTCCTAGTTGTCTATCCTAATGTCCATTTTCTCTCTCCCTCAAGTCAGTTGAAAATTCCAGGGTCTCTTGCAGTTCAGAAAGGACAGGCTGCAATATAAGAGAATTTGGGGTGGGGGGAGGTTGCTTGCTTTTTTTCCCCCAGACAGAGTTCTCTGTGTGGCCCTGCCTGACCTTGAACTCTTTCTCTGAAGACCAGGGTGCTCTGCTCTCAAGGGCTGGAATTAAAGGAATGTGCGATCACCACCCAGCTGAGATAGAAGAAATAGGACACCTGGCAAGATTTTTAACAGAGCCATTTTTTGTTGCTTGGTTTTTGTTTCTTATCTTCCCTCCTGTTGTCTGGAGTAACCTTTAGGTCTCTTGTCAGCTACTCTGGCTACGGGGTACTCAACATACACAAACAATAAAATGAAAAAAATGTTTAAGACAAGGACTTCTTGAATTTTGCATACAAATGGATGGAAATAGAAAACACTATCCTGAGTGAGGTAAGCCAGACCCAAAAAGAGGAACATGGGATGTACTCACTCATATTTGGTTTCTAGCCATAAATAAAGGACATTGAGCTTATAATTCATGTTCCTAGAGAAGCTAAATAAGGTGAATCCAAAGACAAACACATAGGCATCCTCAGGAATATTAACCTTCATCAGGCGATGAAAGGAGACAGAGACAGAGACCCACACGGGAGCACCGGACAGAAATCTCAAGGTCCAAATCAGGAGCAGAAGGAGACGGAGCACGAGCAAGGAACTCAGGACCACAAGGGGTGCACCCACACACTAAGACAATGGAGATGTTCTATTGGGATCTCAACAAGGCCAGCTGGCCTAGGTCTGAAAAAGCATGGGATAAATCCGGACTAGCTGAACATAGCGGACAATGAGGAATACTGAGAATTCAAGAACAATTGCAGTGGGTTTTTGATCCTACTGCACGTACTGGCTTTGTGGGAGCCTAGGCAGTTTGAATGCTCACCTTACGAGACCTGGATAGAGGTGGGCAGTCCATGGGCTTCCCACAGGTCAGGGAACCCTGATTGCTCTTCGAGCAGATGAGGGAGGGGGACTTGATCGGGGGAGGGGGAGGGAAATGGGAAGCGGTTGTGGGGATGAGGCAGAAATC